CAGCTTAGCAAAAGTCGGTCTCAAAATCGGTGTTTTCACCCAACTGCGCTTTTTCCTTTAAAAATTCGCATCTTCCAAACTAATGCAAGTAGCGATTTGAAATTTCCACCATGTTTATAAGACACTTGGCTCTAAAACTGCTGAAAGTTTGGTCGAAAAATTGAAGAAATTCCCAATTTTACCAGCTTAGCAAAAGACGGTCTCAAAATCGGTGTTTTCTCCCAACTGCGCTTTTTCTTTTAAAAATTCGCATCTTCCAAACTAATGCAAGTAGCGATTTGAAATTTCCACCATGTTTATAAGACACTTGACTCTAAAACTGCTGAAAGTTTGATTGAAAAATTGAAGAAATTGCCAATTTTGCCAGCTTAGCAAAAATCGGTGTTTTCACCCAACTGCGCTTTTTCTTTAAAAATTCGCATCTTCCAAAATAATGCAAGTAGCGACTTGAAATTTCCATCAGGTTTATAAGACACTTGACTCTAAAACTGCTGAAAGTCCGGTTGAAAAATTGAAAAAATTGCCAATTTTGCCAGCTTAGCAAAAATCGGTCTCGATCGGCCAGCTTAGCAAAAATCGGTTTTTTCACCCAACTGCGCTTTTTCTTTTAAAAATTCCTATCTTCCAAACTAATGCAAGTAGCGACTTGAAATTTCTATCAGGTTTATAAGACACTTGACTCTAAAACTGCTGAAAGTGTGGTCGAAAAATTGAAGAAATTCCCAATTTTGCCAGGTTAGCAAAAGTCGGTATGAAAATCGATGTTTTCACCCAACTGCGCTTTTTCCTTTAAAAATTCGCATCTTCCAAAATAATGCAAGTAGCGACTTGAAATTTTCATCAGGTTTATAAGACACTTGGCTCTAAAACTGCTGAGAGTCTGGTTGAAAAATTGAAGAAATTACCAATTTTGCCAGCTTAGCAAAAATCGGTCTCAGAATGGATGTTTTCACCCAACTGCTCTTTCTTCTCTAAAAATTCGCATGTTCCAAGCTAAGCCTTGTAGCGGCCTGAAATTTGCACGAGCTTTAGACGCAACTTGTGTCTGAAGATTCGGTAAGTTTCATAAAAATCTCATAAAATCCTGATTTTTGCCTGAAGGAAAATCGATATCAAAATGAATGTTTGCACCCAACTGCTCTTTCATTTTAAAAAATTCTCATCTTCCAAACTAATGCGAGTAGCGTTTGAAATATTCGTCCTCATTAGAAAACACTTGAGCCTAACGGCTCTGAGAGTTTTGGAAAAATCGCTTAGTGTCTTGTTTTTTGCCAGCTTTGTAAATGTGGGTTTAGAATTTGATGCTTTCGCCCAACTGCGTTCTCCCGTTTAAAAATTCGAATCTTCTAAACTAAGGCAAGGAATTGCTCGAAATTTTCGGCTATTTTAGGCGAGAGCGCACTTGTTTGATACTCAAAGTGGTATAAAAATCACTTAAAAGCCTACTTTTTGCCAACTGAGTATCGGTCCCAAAATGGATTTTCTCACGAAATTGCAGTTTCTCCTCTCAAAATGTGCATGTTTTAAACTAAAGCAAGCAGCAACTTGAAGTTTTTTGCTATCGTTAGAAGACCCTTGACACTAAGTAACCCGAAAATTTCGCAAAAATAGCCCCGGATCCTGATTTTTGCCAGGTTAACAAATGTGGCTCGGTGAAAAAGAACCGTTTTCCTGGACACTCACTGCCCATTCGCATCTTGTTTTTACTCGTTCGTTCAGTTCGCGCTCGCTCGTTTCGGTTTATTTAGTGCGGAAAATATCAACGAATCTTTGTTAGTTACTTTGAATTATCGCTTCGATAACTACTTAGTGTTTGGGGGCTCTCAAACCGCTAAAGTTTGCGACCGCAAAGTTCATTTTGCTGACGAGGGTGCAGAAATCTGAACAGAACCGACACATAAAAAGCGGATTGTTGCCCGCCAAACAAAAGTGTTTGCTCTATTGAAATCCGGGTAATAAAGAGCTCAAGTCGGGGCGGATTTCTGATCGCCCGGCTGCCAGCACAAGACGTAATTTCTCACTTTGGGGTTTACCAACGAGGAAAATACCGTTTATGCTTCTGCTTACGATGTAAAACAATTTGCGGTTCCTTGCAAAATCCACCGGCTTTTGGCTGTTGGCTGAATCGCTCTAATCAACTAATTGCGAAAGAAACCCTGAAAATTGCCTGCGATAATGTGCCACTTTAGTCTACAGAAGATCAGCGACATTGTCGGCATGTTTCCGGCCCAAAAAAGCAAAGTGCAAGCACGAGCGCCATTCCTGCAGGCACAATAACGCTTTATGAGCCTTCTTAAGAGATTTCCTGGGAAATTTTCCAGAAAATTCCTTTGTAGTTGGATTAAAGCTGTGCGCTAGCACTAAGCGTCCAGCAGCAGAAACAACACGTTTGAAACGGGCTAATAATCGCAAATAGCTAGCAAAGTTTGCAATGAAAATGGATTGTTTCTCTGGACGCTAAATGCATGAGTAAGTAAATAAAGTGGCGAGCAATCCGGCATTGTAGCGAAGCTTCCTTCCAGAATGTCCGTCTTATTGACCTGATTTCCAGGAAATCCATTAATAACAGCGCACAATAAATCTCCAGAAAGTACAAAATACTGCAGCCCTTCGGCCCTGGAAGGCCGATAAATTGTTTGGGATTATTTGAGCAGCTGACACTGTGCAGTGTTGCGCCATGAATCATTGAAATGTGCCAATTGAACCGAATGGGAGAGAACTTTGAATGAATTTCGCTTGTTCAACGTGAAGGAGGCGCTGTGGAAAGTTTAATTTTGTTAAGCAACTTCGGCAGGAACATGAACAATCATCGCATCCAATTTCGTTGTCTGGACACGTACGAAATGTAACTTTTGTCTATGGCGAAATCAACTAACTGTCTGATGCATTTCGAGTTCTGGACTGGCTGGAATTATAAGTTTAATTGCGAAAGGAGGCAAACAATTGCTGTGCGCCATTCAGCTTGTCCGCTCTTTAATCCAATCGGCCCTTCGTTCCATTCAATATCGCTCGGGCCAAAGTTATCGAAGTATCCAGCGCCTTCGTATGGGCCTCATAACTCATCCAAGACATCTTCTGGTGCGAAAATAAAATTAATTAAAATCGAAGTTCCGGGGAAGTTCGCAACAACGTTTGGCTGTTGCGAGCAAACAGTCGTTACCGAAACTGAGCAGCAAGCGACTTTTGATTAAACTTTAAAATTGAATTTATACGAAAAAGTCCGGTAATCTGAAGGTACGACTCTTTGTCGACCAAAGGCGGTAATTCGCTTTTTGAAACGCGACGAAACATCCTAAGTGTGTTTAGCCAAAGGCAAGTGGGTTGCTGCTTTTGGGGGTGTGGAATCTTAAAAAAATTGTGGAAACTCTCGAAGCAAAATCTTGCCGTAGAAAATTTAGAGCCATGGATTATCTAAAGATCGTAAAAATTGCAAGTCGCTGCTTAGTTTCCTTTGGAAGATGCGAATTTTTAAACGATTCAACGCAGTTGACTGAAGACAGCAAATATGAGCCCCACGTTTAGAAAACTAGGAAAATCAGGATTTTGCGCGATTTGTAAGAAACTTTGAGCATTTTTAAATTTAAAAATTTTTTTAAAATTTAGACAATTTCGAAACCTTGGTCTATAGAACACCTACTCATACTAACCGATACTTGAATTTCGACTCAAATCACCCGATAATGGTTAAAAAAGGTATCGTAAAAAGTCTATATGATAGAGCAAAAATAATTTGTAATCAATCTAATTT